GTCTGATGGGTATATAAACCTTCACATACCAACACCTGTCTGGTCTGATGAGTATATAAACCTTCACATACCAACACCTGTCTGGTCTGATGGGTATATAAACCTTCACATACCAACACCTGTCTTGTCTGATGGGTATATAAACCTTCACATACATTAACACCTGTCTGGTATGATGGGTATATAAACCTTAACATACAAAAACCTGTCTAGTCTGATGGGTATATAAACCTTCACATACAAATGTACCAACACCTGTCTTGTCTGATGGATATATAAACCTTCACATACCAACACCTGTCTGGTCTGATGGGTATAAAAACTTTCACATACAAGCACTTGTCTGGTCTGATGGGTATAAAATCTTTCACATACAAACACTTGTCTGGTCTGACAAAACTTAATAAAAGACATTCTTCCATCTTTTGAAGACAAGACAGTAAATATATCACAGTAAAACAAAATAATTACATATCCCAAACATAAATAAGTTTAAAGTATGCATAACATAGAAAAGTAGGGAAAATTACATTGTGTAATGGGTTTTAAGGCCTTTGGGATCTATACCTGGTGGTAAGGCCTTAAGGATTTATTCTGTGTAATAAGGCCTTAAGGAACCGAGTAGAATTGACATGTGTTTTAATATAAATAATGCATTAGTGAATTATTGCACCTATCTAATTATTTTTGGATGTTTGACTGTAACTTTTTCAATGTATAGATTTTGTCACCCATAATATATTTGCCATTTTACTACATTTGAGGAATTTCAGAACACACTTTTTCACTGTATGCAAAGAAGATCTATAAATAGATTAATACAGCATATACCTATCACTTATTCGCTTGATAGAACCCTTACAACGCAATGTTACACCTCTTACTTATCTATTAAGTATTCAGAGAGTGTCAGTTTAATAATAATTTATAATTACACATTAACAGATCTGACCATCAATAATATTAATGCTAGAACAACATTTTGTCTTCAGACACTTACTGATCATGATTTGATGGAAATTGCTTCTAACTTACAGTTCAAAATTTAACATATCATGAACCATAAATAAGTACTGTTGAAATTTCATCTTTGAGATCCTCAAACTTGTTTAGGTTTGGATTGATAATAAATATATATACCCTTTAAAAGATTTCCCCCTTCGTTCCACAAACTTCAGAAGGTTTCAAGTGATCAGAATGCATTTTTTAAAAATAACAAATAATCGAACAAGTATTTACCTCTGTCTATTAACTGAACCACACAAAACTCGCACACAAATATCATAATTTAGATTATAAATTCATTATAAGAGCTGAAAAGAATTGAGGTCAGCAATGCTTAAGCATTGAAAGACAACATCATAGCATATTTTCCCTGTGAAATAATACACATATAACAAATACTTCAGGTGTTGTAATCTAATTTTCAAAACACATCATAACAAACATGGGTTTAAATCCAACTTCAGTCCTAAAGATAAAACGGATGCACTTTTTAACAATGGAAACAATTTTGTAGTGTCAATAAAATGGCTACTAGTGATCATGAGTCGTATCTACAAGTGTTATACAATAGCAAAGCAATTGATGAGGTATGAATGTACTGCACAATTATTATGCAAATGATACATAGAACCGGTATTGATCTTGAATTCTTCAATTTTTACAAAATTATTTACCTCACAGGTTGTGAAATTTTAAACCTGTTACAATCACAGCAAACACATTTGCAGAAATTGATGAATCAACATATTTTTCAGTTAAAATGATTCAATCGCAGAATGCAACCGGTATTGATGAAAATTGTCACAAATTACAGTACAGAAGTGGCAGCCCCAAAAGACACATAAAACACTCCTTTTACTTTGTAACAGGTAATGCTACACTCCAATGTTCATATAGTAACTGTATTATCATAATTGCCCCTAATCCTCCTTTGAGATTTAGCCAAATAAAAACATCTTGTGTTTCTGCTTACCTTACCTACCCTAGATTTTTCTGCCTACCCTGAAGGTTTTATTGGCATTTAGTGATATGTGTTGTTAAAAGTCAGAACATCTGCTCTATATCAGCATAGTCAAAATAGTTTCCAAAAGAAAGAAAAAAATGCCTACCTACCTACCTACCGTATTTTTTCTGAGGATGATAACAGAAACACAAGATAGTTATGTTTGGCCTTAATACTTGTCGGACACTGTAATGATAGTACATAATACTGTATAACATAACTTAAAACATTTGTCAGGGTTTTATACCCTCATATTACTTTGTCGATATAAATTTGCTCAGTCTGCCCATATCTGTGATCCAGTACCTTATAGTTATAAGCTATCTGTTGTACTAATTAATATTCACGAATACACAGTAATCACGAAAACCATGAATATCACAAGTTTTATGTTGTACAGTATATACTCCTATACATATGACTATTATATAACAGAAATACATAAGCTTGCACACATATTTCTTATATCTATCTAAATCACAAGGTTAGCATTGCGGATATAAAACAAGTACATAGAGTGGCAATAGTACAGGAAAGGTTTAAAACCACTGGTAAGGACTGTATTTGCTTACATACGTAGAAATAAATGGAAAAAATATGGCATGAAATCACAGTCATTACAACTATAACATTTATGTTAGTTTGGCAAGAAAATATACCTGAAATGAACAAAATCAAATCAAAATCCAGTCTAAAAAAACAGTTTCACAGTCAACGTATAAATCAAATTAAGAAAAATATTATGTTTTAAAATATGAAAATGTGAATGTTCCATCTACAGAAGACTGTTTATTGCAGCAGTAACTAGCAGTATGTGGACATGTGGAAGCTTAAACAAGAATTATCACATTAAACAAGCCATAAAAACATCATTGAGATGGTTTCATTACATTCAACTTAAAGACATATACAAGTCCATTGTAGTAGTATTTTTGCCTCTCTACAATTTGACACACTTTTGTGTAACTGTGAAGTCACCCTCCTCAAAGAGGCTCCGCCTAGATCAGCCACCTTGCAAATGTTTGACAGAATGTGTAATACAAACTCTTGTTCAAGGACAAATAAAAGAAAATGACAACGCAGGTGACTATTTCCTGTTTTGCATTACGCATAGTTTGTACAATACATCTTATAATTTGACAGACCTAAAGCAGTAAGCTACAATAAGGCAAAGTTAACTGTATTACACATATATCACTCTAGTTGATGGACTCACATTGGTTCATCTCGTGCAAACGTACTGCAATATATAGAATGATGTTTGTTGACTTCTGAACTGACCACAAGATCGAACTTTTTGACAACACAACATTTGCCATGATACACTAGTATGTAGTGAAGTCACACAACGGAACACCATATTATCAAGCTTTTCACATACACAATGTATTCCAGTCATGAGGACAACCTGTTTTGCAGCAATGATTCTATCTTTGATATCATAACTTATCTTAAGTCAAGCCTATTCAAATGTTAGTAGTATATGTGCAATTCACAGGTTAAATAAAATGAGAATTTCTTTAACAGCTACTTCTTAGTTCAGTCAAGGTTTTGAAAATGATGTGATAAATGGTTACTATGAGATCTGGATTTCCTTAAAAGTTTTGAGTTTTCAGAAAAGAGTACTTTCCATATTTTTTGGGTTTCATATGGCACTTTTAAAATGTTTCATGTTTAATAACACAAAAACATGGACAATATTATTTATAAGACATATTGCCCTGGTATCATTTTTCAAAATTAATCTAGATTTCTCTCCAGATCTTTACAGTAAATACCAGGGGAAAGTCTTCTGACAACAGCTATAACTCTGTATTACTATCGTCCACATGAATCACATGTCAGTTTAGTCTTCTGTGAAGGAGACCGGTGTAACATCTAGTGCCACACCAAACTCACTCTCCCACGGCTCTCTGATGGCACTGACCAGTGACTGTACGCTGTGTGTCGAAGGAAAGGCAAGCTGCCAGCACGTCTCCTCCCCCGACTCCTCGCTGAAGAATGTGAACCTTAGCTGGGTGTTGTCCGTCTCACACATCTCCTAACATACAGATATAATGGTGGCTTTAGAGTTTGATACTTAATCATTCATAATCACAACTTCTTATTTATTTTTAAGTGCAATCATTTAGAACAAGATTTAAAAAACTGATTGATTATGCTCCCCTAAAAGGTCAATTGGACTGGAACAAGGCATCACAAGTGATACAAATCCCCTTGCATTCACACATTTTGACATATGTAAGAGGAAATGAAGTCGCTAGAGCGATGACAAAGTTTTTTCTAAACAAAGTAACAGTGACCTTGACCTTCAACATCGAAAACCCAAAAGGAAAAGTTGTTAAAGGCATTGCCATACGTAACACTTGTATGAAGTTACATGAAATTCCATTGAGGAATGAAGTCAATACGATGTGATTTTTTTTTGTAAAATTGTAAAGGTAACCTTGACCTTAAACGCAGAAACCTGAAACCGAACTTGTTCCAAGACATTGTCACACTGGTATCAAGTTTCAGGAACCTTTGAGGAATGAAGTCAATAGAGCGATGACAAAGTTTTTCTAAAAATAGTAACAGTGACCTTGACTTTCAACGTAGAAAACCTGAAACGTGAATTTGTTCAAGGTATTGTCATACTAAACACTTGTATGAAGTTTCGTGAAATTCCATTGAGGAATGAAGTCGCCAGAGCGATGACAAAGAGTGTAACAGTATGTATGTATATACGTACATATGTCGTACGTACAGGCGGAATCCTATATCCCCTTGAACTTTTGTTACGACGGGATGATAAAAGCTATGTGTTACATATCTAGATCTGAAATCATCATGCCTAGTGCCATTGTTATCTCTGAAATTACTTGACTGTCTGAAGTGAATGAACTCCAAAGTGGTATGCAACCAACAGTTTTTTTCATTTTACATTTACCTTTAAAGACATAAAAGTTAAGACTTGGACAAACATTTTGACCTTTGACACACAGACCCCAAAATGGTATGAAACACAATGCTTTGCCATTTTACATATTTCTATAAAATTTCATATCTATTATAATAATTCAGCAAGTCTGAAGTTTATAGTCGAGAAAATTAATTTGACATTTGATCTCAACGTGGACTTGACCATGGGTGTATTCCGTCTTTGCGTATTGTAGAGTTATCTTCTCTTGTGAGCAGATATTGATTGTTACGTCATTTGTTTGTGAGAGTAACGTCATCAATTTTTGAGAAAAGGATGTAATTTTCTCCTACAAACCAATGACGTAACAATCAATACCTGCTCACAAGAGAAGACCCGAAAGTGTTATGCCACACTGCCTTTCAATCCTACATATATCACTCAAATTTAATCTAGTTATCTTCAGCAAGCCAAAAGTTATCACTCGGAAACTGAATTTGACCTTTAACCTAAATTTCATGTTGTACCTTGACCTTGGGTGTAAAGACCCAATAGCTTTATGACACACATAGCTTTATGACACACATTCCCTGTCTATCCTTTATAAGTTATGGTCTGGATGCTGAATTTTACCCTTGATCTCAGTTTGACCTTGACCTTTCATGAAGTCATCTAGAGCAGTGATTTAAGATATTGCTAGACAATGTATTAGACCTCTGATCTCAATGTGACATTGACCTTAGGCATACAGACCCAAAAATGGTACATGACACACCGCCTTGCCATCCTGCATATACTCCTTAAAATTTTATGGAGGTGTCTTTGGCGAGTCAAAAGTTATGGTCAGGACAACAAGTTTTACCTTTGACCTAAATGTGACCTTGATCTTTGGCTTAGGGACCAAATAGTGGAAAATAACACATGCCATCCTACATGTATCACTTAAATTTCATTGGACTATCTATAGCATGTCCAAAATTATAGCCCCGGACTGATGGATGGACGGACAGAGTGGCGACTATATGTTCCCCAAAGTTTTCATGGAGGTAACTAATATCAGCATTACTACAAATCATGATATATAAAATAAGACTTTTAAAAAATAATCTTGTACTTGATCTTAACTTGACCCTACATTTACTGTACACTACAGTACTTTACTTAACACAGACTTTACTGTATTCTCATTCTTACCACTGTTGCTATGTAGTTAATCTTCTGTTTGTCCAGCATGGTGAACTGTTGGCCTTTGACCTCATCACTTAGAGGCGCTTGAAGTCTAGGGATTGGCCACTGGTGGTTTTCTTGTAGCATGCAAAGATCAGTTGCAGTGACCGCAAGACCCACTGGACGTATATCATCCTCATCTGGATAACAAGAAATATAATTACAAGCTTTTTAATGGGAGTAGAATTACAAGCTTTCTTATGGGAGTAGAATTACAAGCTTTTTTATGGGAGAAGAATTACAAGCTTTCTTATGGGAGCAGAATTACAAGTTTTCTTATGGGAGTAGAATTACAAGCTTTCTTATGGAGCAGAATTACAAGCTTTCTTATGGGAGTATAATTACAAGCTTTCTTAACGGAGCAGAATTAAAAGCTTCTTATGGGAGTAGAAGTACAAGTTTTCTTACGGGGCAGAATTACAAGCTTTCTTATGGGAGTAGAATTACAAGCTTTCTTATGGGAATAGAATTACAAGCTTTCTTATGGGAGCAGAATTACAAGTTTTCTTATGGGAGTAGAATTACAAGCTTTCTTATGGGAGCAGAATTACAAGCTTTTTTATGGAGTAGAATTACAAGCTTTCTTATGGGAGTAGAATTACAAGCTTTCTTATGGGAGCAGAATTACAAGCTTTCTTATGGGAGTAGAATAACAAGCTTTCTTATGGGAGCAGAATTACAAGCTTTCTTATGGGAGTAGAATTACAAGCTTTATTATGGGAGTAGAAGTACAAGTTTTCTTACGGGGCAGAATTACAAGCTTTCTTATGGGACTAGAATTACAAGCTTTCTTAATGGAGCAGATTCACGAGCTTTCTTAATATAGTAGAATTACAAGCTTTCTTATGGGAGTAGAATTACAAACTTTCCTATGGGAGTAGAACTACAAACTTTCTTATGGAAGTAGAATTACAAGCATTCTTATGGAACTAGAATTACAAACTTTCTTATGGGAGAAGAATTACAAGCTTTCTTATGGGAGTAGATCTACAAACTATCTTATGGAAGTAGAATTACAAGCTTTCTTATGGAACTAGAATTACAAACTTTCTTATGGGAGAAGAATTACAAGCTTTCTTATGGGAGAAGAATTACAAGTTTTCTTATGGGAGCAGAATTACAAGCTTTCTTATGGGAGCAGAATTACAAGCTTTTTTATGGAGTAGAATTACAAGCTTTCTTATGGGAGTTGAATTACAAGCTTTCTTATGGGAGTAGAATTACAAGCTTTCTTATGGGAGCAGAATTACAAGCTTTCTTATGGGAGCAGAATTACAAGCTTTTTTATGGGAGAAGAATTACAAGCTTTCTTATGGGAGAAGAATTACAAGCTTTCTTATGGGAGAAGAATTACAAGCTTTCTTATGGGAGCAGAATTACAAGCTTTTTTATGGAGTAGAATTACAAGCAATGTCAGCAAAATTTAAAGGGTGAAGTAATATCACTGTGTACAAAGTTTGGTTAGAACAAATGTTTTCAATCCTAGAAATCAAAATCAATGGTTCCAGTACATGACACTTCAACATTCTAAAACCGACCTGATATGGATGTAATATTAGTATATAAAAGTGGTTTTTTTGTAAGTATTATATTTACAAGTTATATTATGGACAAGCCTTTCACTCATCGTCAAAGGTCAAGCAAAGGTTACAGTGACCTACTTTTAGTATACAATACAAAACCTGCCACCTGATAATGTACTCATTAACCATGCTTGGTAATCCTATGTGAAATTGATATCCCCCACACAAAGTGTGATGTTAAAACGTTTGCTATGACACAAAGGTTAAAGGTCGAAATCCTGGTCACGTTAACCTCCTTAAAGCATATCACACCTAGCAATCTCACAATGTACTTACATAGTACTGTATACAGAATTTAGATATTCTAGGTAATATAGTACTGGAGATCTGTCCCGGACTAAGTGTGATTGGACAGATAGGCCAAAGGTTAAAAATGCAATCTTTACTTTCCTACAGACTCAGTATTACCAATGAGGGGCTACCACTTACCCAATTCAACTGCACGATGACATGACAAGTAACGCACTAATACATAGCTGTCATCTTCTTCAATTATCTCCCCCTCCTCCAAATCACAGGTGATAATGGTACTCCGTAGGTTGTCCAATGTCGTAGCATTGTATTTGGATATTCCCTCAAGTCGACTGCCATGACTGAATGCTGTACTCTGTACAATACCTAGAAAACAGAAAATGTTGAACCATTTTCTCTGTCATGGTGTCAAATATGCTATAAACATTGAGTCCTAGATTATAATGTGGAGATCAGTTAAATACGGGAGACCCATGGGCTGTAGCAGTCACCTGACAAATAAAATTTTAACAAAGCTTTTTCTCCTATTTGGCAGAAGTAGTAAAAAGCAAGTCAAGGTCATTTATAACGAACTTGTAAACAATACATCTCGGCTAACTACAGGCAAATTATTATTGACCTTATTTGGCATTTTTGGATCTCTAGAAAAACGTGTAACTTTTTAACATAATAAACCCCTGTGACCTTAAATGTTGGTCAAGGTCATTCAAAGGATTAAATTTGGTGGCCATTCACCCCAGAAAGCTACAAACAGAAATTGGAATCACACAGGAGCCATTGACATAACTGACCTAAAGAGTGTCACAGAAAACAACCAGGGAGGGTGGGAGGAGGCTGAAAAAATGTATCAACTCCAAATATTCAAACAATATATCTTCACTTAAAATATACCACATTTCATTACCTGTTATGAGGCTGATGTAACTTTTGCATCTTTTCTCGTCCCTGATGATAAAGGTGTAGCTGGAACACTCTGTATCAAACTCAAAACGCAGTGTCTGGTAACCAAGACCGATGTCAATGTATTGTAGCTCTGTGATTGGTTGATTTTCTATACAGCTCAGAGACGTGTCCACAGAATCACTGCTACAATACAACAATTTCAAAAAAATACATTACTGAAGGCACTTACATGAACAAAAGTATGAGAACGTTGTACCATGTTACATAACTTATTTAAATTGATCATACACTGCTGTTGAATGACTATATCTACAATTTTCTGTAAAGCTATATTGACATCAGTAAAATGATAACAAATATAAAGAAAACTTTACCTCAACAACAAAACCCATCTGGCAGCATGTTTTTACGAATCTGCAGTCATTTCTTATATTATACTGAACTGACCCATTTTCCAAAATAAATCAAGGTTAAAGATACCCAATTGTCGATTATATATATATTATACTTTTTTACATTTTGGCTGACTGCTGTTGTCCTTAGCTGGTACATGTATTAACAAACTTGATAAATGTCTGTAACATCTTTACAGACTTCTGTACATAGCACCAAGTATTTCTGTAAGGGTATGCTCCTCATTACAGTCCCAAAGAAAATGTAGTCAGAACTGGCCATCAATAGATGTACATACCTCGAGTATTCATCCAGTATCTTCAGTATGATGATCTTGGAGGTGGTGAAAACCACGAGGCCTTTGACAGGTTCTGGGGACATGTATTGTACTATATCACACTGAAACATACAATCGTATCAATACTGTTAAATGTGTAGCAGACATTTTAATAGCACAAGTGTATCAGATTACAAGTTGTTACATCACTGCTAACCATTAACGAAACCTTTGATATGCAAAATGACATTTGTATCTCACCTGGAGGACACTTTGATGTTTACATGTATATCTTACAGAGGGCACAACGACAAATGCATTTTACCTGAAGCACATATTAACAAATATATCCCTGCTAGGGGTTCATGGGTACATTAACAAATATATCCAAGCTAGGGGTTCAGAGGTACATTTATAATTGTATCCCAACTAGGGTTCAGGGGTACATTTATAATTGTATCCCAGCTAGGGGTTCAGGGGTAGATTTGCAATTGTATCCCAGCTAGGGGTTCAGGGGTACATTTACAATTGTATCCCAGCTAGGGGTTCAGGGGTACATTAACAATTGTATCCCAGCTATGGACCAGGGGTACCTTTACAATTGTATCCCAGCTAGGGGTTCAGGGGTACATTTACAATTGTATCCCAGCTAGGGTTCAGGGGTACATTTACAATTGTATTGTATCCCAGCTATGGTCCAGGGGTACCTTTACAATTGTATCCCAGCTATGGTCCAGGGGTACCTCTACAATTGTATCCCAGCTATGGTCCTGGGGTACCTTTACAATTGTATCCCAGCTATGGTCCAGGGGTACCTTTACAATTGTATCCCAGCTAGGGTTCACAGGGGTACATTATCAATGGTATCCCAGCTAGGGGTTCAGGGGTACATTAACAAATGCATTTTACCTGGTTGGGGCAATGACAATTGTATTATACCAGGGATGGGGACAATTACCACCGTTATTGTATCTTACATTGAGGATACTTAGACAAGTACATACTACATTTAGGGCACTCTGACAATTATATCCTACCTGGGGATGAGGGACAATTACCACCATATTGTATCTTACCTGTAGGGTACTGTAACAATTACATACTACATTTAGGGCACTCTGACAATTATATCTTACCTGCAGTGAACACTGACATTCCTCCCCATCCTCTAGTATTTTCATCATCAGGAACAGCTTGAGCCGGTGATCTACAGTGGTGAAGTCCACATCCTCCATGGTTGCTAATACTGATCCAGACGACTCTCCTTCATCTGATGTCTCCATGTGGTTTCCGTTACTGGTACCATGAGTAGTCTGCGCTTCTGCACTATTCTCCTGATCAGGCCCCTCACTTTGGTTTTGGCTAGTAAGTGCTGTATGGAATTCATTTGTTATATTATCAACTTCATCGCTGGTATCCTGCGTTGAAGATGTGCGATGTTCATTGTCTACATTGTTGTCATAAATGCTGTCGTTATTATATGAGTTATCGTAAATGCTAACGTCATTCTCTCCATTATTGTTGTCCTCCATTGCCATAGGTGCTTTCTGATTGATCACATTTGTATTTTCCACCAATGCATTTAAGTCCTCCTCACTAGCCGTCACAAGTGAGTTTTCATACACACTTGAAACCATACTGGAACATATACTTGTTGACAGAGGAGAACCAATAGGGGTTATCTCCCCCTGCTCTTCAGCAATGCCATTTAAATTGACTTTCTTTGTTGCACCCACACCTTCTGTCGCTGCCCCTAGAGAGGCAAGAGCAATACTTGACATAGGAAGGGGTAAGTCTTGCTTAAACACACACTCCAACTGTTCTTGACCTTGATCTTTGTCTGCGACCTTGACCTTGGGATCAGGGATGGTTTCAATACTTGACTCAGAGATGACTGCTACACTACTCTCACTGGTGTTAGTGAGGATTGTAATATCACTATCTACTGATGTCCGGTGTTGTTGTGTCTTATTAGAAAGTGCCTTGTTAACATCCGACCAAGAGCAGTTCCTTTGGAAAGCTTTATTCTCTGTTGGTGTAGTAACACTTTGTCCGCTAGCCACATTGGATGAGGACTTCGTCATACGATGCAGTCTCTGATCTTGTTCTGTCCGGGAAAAGCCATCGGAGCGTGACATCACAACTAGGGAAGGTAGTGGATGTTCTGGTTTTGGTTCCTCTGTAATTAATCAATGACAACATCATCAGTCAATTGTGGTCACTGTATCATCATTCATAACTGGCGTGGAAAAATGAACGGCCAAACCAGAATATAAACCCTGGATGTCTTAACTCTAGGCAGAAGCCCTGACCAATTTAGCTACAAGCGACTGACCCAGTCCAGTTCTTTTACACATTTTTAGAAAATCTCAACATAACCTTATCATGTGTATCTTATTTTGGAGCCAATGTGTATAGAACAAAGCATAAAACAAAGAGAGCACTTTTACGATACTCAACATTGTTAAATGGCATAGCGAAAGTACATTTAGAGTTTCAAAAGCATCAAATATAACGAATGATAACAATATTTAAAGTAACTGTCATAAGGCTTTGAACCCATATTTCTTCCAGTTCAAAACCTGGAAATTAAAGGTACCCTCATGGATTTACTTGATTCTAAACAAACCTTGTAGGTTGCCATTAGACGGTTTGCCAGACAAAGAAATGCGCCGTTCTGAAGAATCGTCTTTCAGTGGTGTGGATTTAGCAACAGGAGAACCAGTAATAACATCTTCTGTTCTGCTAACAGAAATAAAGCTGGTCAACAAGAGACAAAATGACAAAATTCAGGACAGATATACAGTTAAACCTGTCTAATGTGGATCAACAAGTTTAGATATCACAGACTCAATTTACCAATTCATACAATAGTGAGATCTGGTAAAATTTACTCTGTATATACAAAATAACCTGATGACACATTGAAACAATATGTCATCCATTCAATTTAGTAGTTGCTTCCCAAAAGGAAAATTCTTATAATCAGGAAATACTAGCCAAAAGTGACACTGATGACAAAACCCTTGAGTTATCTGGGATAAGGTACCAACATGTACTTTAAGTTATAATATATGAGTGGTAGGGTCTAAAATGATTGTTAGAAAATGCAGCAAAGATAGGGGAAAAGTACCTAATTACGCCTTTACTGATGTATTTATGTCTGGTGTCGACTTCCCTAGGCATATATTATGTTTACCTGTCTCTGTGGAAATGTAGGTCATGTTCAAACTGTGACAAGGTTTGTTTGACAGGAGAATCAATATCTACCACTGCTGTACTGATCAGAGGCTCTCCTAGTAGGGGGGACCCATTACCCACTTTCACAGGTGATCTTGACCGTGGAGACCTTTTGTTGCTTGCTCCACCCATGATGTTATTTAGGCTGGACACAGAGGAGAGGGAACCTACTGGTGTGGTCTGGTGTGAGGATGGTTTCTCACGAGTGTCCATCTGAACTACCAACTGACTTTTACACTTAGGACAACCGTACTTTACTGGGATGTCTGAAATACAGCAAAATTGGGTAATTTACACATTTCATATTAATTGTTTGTAATATGACAATCAAAAGTAACCCTAGTCCTTGTTGATACTTTTTAATGATTTGAGGAAGAGGATATTCTCCTAAGTTTAACAAGACACAGATCTAGAACAAGACCAAAGCATTCCGAAGCAACAAACATCCTTTAATGCATATATATGTCTATCTAATTCACATATCCATGAAGACCTTTGGAGTATGAAACACAAAATTGTCCAAGGTAAACTCAAACTTGACTTTTGTATAAAGTTTGATCAAAATTTGTAAAGACATTAAGTCATTTGAGATATGACACTAAAATAAATGTTTCTGGAAGCAAAAAGTAGGAAGATAAAAAAAAAAAGTCAAGAGTCAGGAAAAAACTTGATGCTACTGATCGGGAGCTGCATATCCATTACTTAATCAAAGTAATTGATGGAGGAATGTCTTATAAAGATGATAAAGAACAAAACCAAGAGACACAGCCTGAACCAGTGAATTCAAATTGGAAGGATTGAAAATAGGAGCTTAGAGAAATGCTGTGTCTGACATTTGATGCCTCTTACCCTGTGTGGGGTTGTTCTTGGACAATGTCTGCAGTAAGGAAAGCTGTGAAGGCGTGGCTTCTGACTTGTCAAACTGGGCAGAACACTTCAAACACTGCAACAAAGGCATCAAATGGTAGGGCAAGGTTAACAAAAAAGTCAAACCTACACAACATTGAAGGTATAGTAAAGGAATATTCCCATCATTATTTGATTTACAGTTTGTAACCATACCTGCAGGAGGCCTTGTAGTTTTCTGTCCAACTTTTTTTCATCCAGACAAGGTTGAAGTAAAGCTTGGAAACTCTGTCGATAAAGATACATACATGTAATTAGGGCATCATATAATATATTATTATGAATCAATATTTAGACATACCCACCTATTTTGTATAGGTAACTTCACAATATGTTATACAAAATGTACATCAATATCAGTCTGAAAATGCTGTAGTGTGTAGCAAAATTACAAAAATGTCTCCTACATCTGTAATTTCAAGATACAAACATATGGGATACACCCAGTGACCTTGGTTCGTTGGTTTTTTTTTATAAATCTTGACAAGGGAGTTTATAAAAACAAATGTTTCAGTTCAAAATATTCAAAAAAATATCAACTGATGTTATGAAACATGGTATCAATTCAATGTGATATGCTTCATCATTTTATTGAAATTTTGGTCAACGGAGATTATCTACAACCAAAAATACATTCAGCATCTTGACTCACAAAAATAGATAATTACTTAATAATGTACAACTCGACAGCCTTTGCAAACTACTTTAACTTTTAAGTTTACTTTGGTACATGTACATCATACTGTAAATCAATTTTTGGTTAACTTAAACACTGTCAAGAAAACCTACTATTGTAGGAAAGGGGGTTTGGGAAATTCAATCCCCATGTGTATAATTTTCCTATATCCCTCATAGCTACATATGTTTGATTTTTTTCCCCATTTCAACAGGACAAAAGATCATATATACCACAGCTGACTTTTAACTGGTTCTATTCTAACAATTGCTGATCATTTACACCAAAGCTGACTATTCCGTCTTTGCGTATTGCAGAGTTATCTTCTCTTGGGACCAGGTATTGATTGTTACGTCATTGGTTTGTGTGAGAAAATTACGTTGTTTTCTCAAAAATTGATGACATTACTCTCACAAACAAGTGACGTAACAATAAATACCTGCTCCCAAGAGAAGATAACTCTGCAATATGCAAAGACGGAATACTTATTCCATTCCATAAATAAAATTGAAACATTCTAACAATAGTGATATTTTCTCCCCGTTTCATACCTCAGCATTATCATTATCTTCCATGATGTAAGTTCTCTCCCGTCTGTCTTTCCTCACATAATCAAACTTCATTCTCAGCATTGGCGTCACCCTTCCTTCCTCCTCTCCCTGTTCCTGTGGCAAGGTATTGTGGGAAAGTGTAATTTTCTCCAAACATTTGAGGTCCAGCATCTCAACAACCCGACCGTTGAGGTCCTTCTCGATGATGTAACGCTGGTTGACCGTCACAATCAGGTGAGTTTCCTCCTGGTTAGGGAGTGTCACTATGTACGGTTCACTCTCAGTTCCTGCAAAAATTCAAAACAAAATATAAATTTATTGAATTATTTTCAAATTAAAGTATAACAGCTTCTATTTATGAAAATAATTCCATAAATAATAATTCATTGAAATTAAATCACTACATTCAAATATACCATGGGTACATATTTTTTCAATCTTGAATAAACATAGTATTTACTATCATTAATCTTTCCTTTTACCAGATAGATAAAAAGTGATCCCTACAAGTGAGGCTACAACATTGTTTAAAGTTTCTTAAAAAACTGTCCTAGCTTACAGGTAATCCTTATACAAAATTATCCTGTATTTACCATAGTATTGCTCCTGTTCCTCCTCCAACCTTTGCCACTCAGCCCCGTGGGAACTGTTCTGTCGCGTTACAAGTGTTGTCCTCTCCTCAGAAGGACTGTCGATCACCTTGCTATAAATCTCTCCTGACGATATCTCTCTCTGTAGCACAGTTGTTTGGCTATCTGGTTAAGGGAAATATGTAAGATGAAAAAGTAATACATAAAATCATGAATATACATCCACCTTTCTTTGTAATACACTTCAGCTTGTTTATTGACCATCAAGTGAAATATGACTGAATATTTTTCTATTCTTCTGCATCCAGCAATAGCTAAAATTCAAATTTTACTACTTACCTTCATTTTCAGAGGTCAAAACCTCAATGTCATCATCCCCCTCAAGATCACTGTGATGACTACTGGCTCCATCTGGGATGTTGTCAGGGAGACCTGCAGTACTATCATTGAGATAAATATCATCCTCTGTTTTAACCACTAGTTCAGCGTTCCTGTCAGTGATCTCAGCATGAACTGATTCTGATTTCTTGTCAACATCAACTGGTTCAGATTTCCTGCCAATCTTGACCTGTCGTTTCCTCGGCTCCACGGTGTGAACTTTGATTCCACTCTGCTTGCTTTTCATGGCAGCGTCTTTGTTTGCATTGATGACTTGCAGCCAGTTGACCCCATAATGATCCCGTAGCACCTCCACCTCATCTCTGATACTGGATCTTCCCTCAATCACCCGCACTGGTGACCCCGCTACAAACACACACAATGAACGAATACAGACACTGCAATATCTCAAAATTCACGAAAAAATGAACACTTCAATTGTGCTTTTATTGTTTAGTTTTAGAGATATACATATATATGTGATCATATTGTATCAGGTATAGGACATTCCACCTTATTTCTCTATAACAGATGTACCTATGAAGCCTTCTCTGGACTGAACATTTCCAGAGTTTATACCAGTTTTATATCTTGGACACCTACATCTTGAGTTTTCCTGTGAAGAATCTCCATCAGTTGTGGAAACATCAATAAATCTTTCATCACTAGAGAGACGATTTTTTGGTTTGGACCGTCTACGTCCAGCTTTGCGCCGAATAGGTGAGCCAATCTTTAGTGAAGTAGCAATGCTGTCTGAGTCGTCAAACCTGTACGTCTGCTGTATCCTCAAACTAGTTGATGGCCTGTCCATCCCCGAGATAATAGAATGAGCCTCTTGGGAGGGACGGCGTGAGGCTGGCATCACTCTCCTCTGTGTAAGCTGTAAACAAGCAAGGAACAACAGATCTCAACAAATCCATATCAGCTTTTAACTGCTCTCTGTTTACATTACCCAGGTGTTATATCAATATGACTGCCAACTGGAAACAGCAAAACTAACCAATAGACACTTTTGTTTGCATGCTTTATGCCAATCAAATACCAGGTAGCTATTCGTGTGCCTTTCATTATGCTATGACATATTCCAGGGGTGCTGAGAGCGAAAGTGAGCGAACACCTGGATATCGAGGATGAAATTCCTCTCGAAATCAATTTAAGCATTATTTACAATTTCAATAATGAAAACGTAAGTTACACTACAGGCATAACAATTATTCCATGATTTGTATGGGACTTATGAAACTGGATAACAACCTATACATACAATTTAGAGTTTTACAATACCAAGCTAGCTCCAGTTTCCTGGATAATAATCATTCCTAACCTTACTTGATATTTTTTTCTAATCTTTTACTCAATTGAACAATGATTTCTCTATGCAAATTAAAGAGAGAGAAAAGTGTAATCAAAAATGTCTTTAGGATTCTAAATGCAGACACCTCACTGATTGAATATATATCTGAAATGGAAGAGCCAGAAACAGAATTCAACACTGTGCATTAATATTTTATGTATCAACATCATGAAAGCAATGATGCGTGAAGTACCGGTAATCTAAATTCTACTCACCAATCTTTCTGTGGGACTTATATCTTTACCATCCAGGGTAAACTGTAACAATATCAAAAACAAACTATCAAAAAGAATTTTGAATAGGTAAAATCTGTAAACTTTCTGCTTTTACCATAATTTGCCTTGATAGATACTGGTAATTATTTTTCAACAAATTATAATTCATTACATTTTTGGGTTATTTGGACTAATTTGATGGTGAAAAATATGTAAACAAATAAGAGCTGTGTTCCTGGTCACAGTGTCTGTTACATGTTGTAGGGTTAATGCTATATACTGACAGTTACATGTTGTGGTGTTAACACTGTATCACACTTACTGTGTACCTGGCAGCAGTGTCTGTTACATGTTGTAGGTTAAATGCTATATACTGACAGTTACATGTTGTGGTGTTAACACTGTATAACACTTACTGTGTTCCTGACAGCAGTGTATGTTACATGTTGTAGGGTTAATGCTATATACTGACAGTTACATGCTGTGGTGTTAACACTGTATCACACTTACTGTGTACCTGGCAGCAGTGTCTGTTACATGATGTAGGTTAAATGCTATATACTGACAGTTACATGTTGTGGAGTTAACACTGTATCACACTTACTGTTTTCCTGGTAACAGTGTCTGTTACATGTTGTCGGGTTAATGTTATATACTGACAGTTACATGTTGTGGTGTTAACAATGTATCACACTTACTGTGTACCTGGCAGCAGTGTCTGTTACATGTTGTAGGTTAAATGCTATATACTGACAGTTACATGTTGTAGGGTTAATGTTATATACTGACAGTTACATGTTGTGGTGTTAACACTGTATAACACTTACTGTGTTCCTGACAGCAGTGTATGTTACATGTTGTAGGGTTAATGCTATATACTGACAGTAACAAGTTGTGGTGTTAACACTGTATCACACTTACTGTGTTCCTGGCAGCAGTGTCTGTTACATGTTGTAGGTTTAATGCTATATACTGACAGTTACATGTTGTGGTGTTAACAATGTATCACACTTACTGTGTACCTGGCAGCAGTGTCTGTTACATGTTGTAGGGTTAATGCTATATACTAACAGTTACATGTTGTGGTGTTAACACTGTATTACACTTACTGTGTTCCTGGCAGCAGTGTCTGTTACATGTTGTAGGTTAAATGCTATATACTGACAGTTACATGTTGTAGGGTTAATGCTATATACTAACAGTTACATGTTGTGGTGTTAACACTGTATCACTCTTACTGTGTTCCTGGTAACAGTGTCTGTGACATGTTGTAGGGTTAATGCTATATACTGACAGTTACATATTGTGTGGTTAACACTGTATCACACTTACTGTGTTCCTGGTAACAGCGTCTGTTACATGTTATAGGGTTAATGCTATATACTGACAGTTACATATTGTGTGGTTAACACTGTATCACACTTACTGTGTTCCTGACAGCAGTGTCTGCTACATGTTGTAGGGTTAATGCTATATACTGACAGTTACATGTTGTAGGGTTAATGTTATATACTGACAGTTACATGTTGTGGTGTTAACAATGTACCACACTAACTGTGTTCCTGGCAGCAGTGTCTGTTACATGTTGTAGGTTTAATGCTATATACTGACAGTTACATGTTGTGGTGTTAACAATGTACCACACTAACTGTGTTCCTGGCAGCAGTGTCTGTTACATGTTGTAGGTTAAATGCTATATACTGACAGTTACATGTTGTAGGGTTAATGTTATATACTGACAGTTACATGTTGTGGTGTTAACAATGTACCACACTAACTGTGTTCCTGGCAGCAGTGTCTGTTACATGTTGTAGTTTTAATGCTATATACTGACAGTTACATGTTGTGGTATTAACACTGTATCACACTTACCTTGTTCCTGGCAGCAGTGTCTGTTACATGTTGTAGTTTTAATGCTATATACTGACAGTTACATGTTGTGGAGTTAACACTGTATCACACTTACCGTTTTCCTGGTAACAGTGTCTGTTACATGTTGTAGGGTTAATGTTATATACTGACAGTTACATGTTGTGGTGTTAACACTGTATCACACTCACTGTGTTCCTGGTAACATTGTCTGTTAGATGTTGTAGGGTTAATGCTATATACTGACAGTTACATGTTGTGGTGTTAACAATGTACCACACTAACTGTGTTCCTGGCAGCAGTGTCTGTTACATGTTGTAGGGTTAATGTTATATACTGACAGTTACATGTTGTGGTATTAACACTGTATCACACTTACTGTGTTCCTGGTAACAGTGTCTGGTACATGTTGTAGGGTTAATGCTATATACTAACAGTTACATGTTGTGGTGTTAACACTGTATTACACTTACTGTGTTCCTGGCAGCAGTGTCTATTACATGTTGTAGGGTTAATGCTATATACTGACAGTTCATGTTGTGGAGTTAACACTGTATCACACTTCCCTTGTTCCTGGCAGCAGTGTCTGTTACATGTTGTAGGGGTAATGCTATATACTGACAGTTACATGTTGCGGTGTTAACACTGTATCTCACTTACCTTGTTCCTGGCAGCAGTGCCTGTTACATGTTGTAGGGTTAATGCTAAATACTGACAGTTACATGTTGTGGTGTTAACAATGTACCACACTAACTGTGTTTCTGGCAGCAGTGTCTGTTTCATGTTGTAGGGTTAATGCTATATACTAACAGTTACATGTTGTGGTGTTAACACTGTATTACACTTACTGTGTTCCTGGCAGCAGTGTCTGTTACATGTTGTAGGGGTAATGCTATATACTGACAGTTACATGTTGCGGTGTTAACACTGTATCTCACTTACCTTGTTCCTGGCAGCAGTGTCTGTTACATGTTGTAGGGTTAATGCTCTATGACTTCTGTGGAAAGACAAGGGATTACCCTTGAGACTAAGCTGAAAATGGATAATATTGATCTGGTCAGCATAATAAATAAATTTTACTGGAAAGAGATAATACATGTATAACATGTTAGGTCCTATTAAGTCAATTTAGTCCTTTAAATAACATTTCTATCATCATAATCATAAATTACAGAAAAACAATAGTTTAACTTACATTGTACCTGGGATACGTACACTGTACACTACATGTATGTGTTAATTAACAAATTCAATATTAAAATTTACCAGTTAAGTCAAAGTATCCTTTTGTTTTTTTCAAATTAGAAATTTGAGTCTACATATCGTCTTTGAATTCCTGTTGTCTTAGAAATCTTCATATTAAATGAAGTTTAGGAGTCATCCTGTATCTTTTTTCCCATACCGGGCTCTAGGCATCTCCTTACATAATGCCACAAATTTTCATATTAACTTTCTTGGACTCGTTGATATTTTGGTGATGAGTCAAATGATGCTAACTTAAATGGGGACAATGTGCTCTTTTTTTGTAGTAATACTTTTATTTCTACATAATCTACTCTGACTGGGCTCCATATAACAACTCAATACATCTGAATCTATGTTCAGATGTACTCATTTTTCAGCCTTACACTACAATATTTTTTTCTGATCTTTGATTTCATCTCTGATTAACTTTTATATGAACAACAAAATCCATCAGTACTAAATTACCAATCATTGGCTCTAACATAGTTGTGAAATATGTGTGTTGACAAACGCTATGGAAATACCGACCCGGTTAAGTTTGCTTAGTCCAGAGAGTACAGTGAGGCAAGAATGGTCGACTAGACAGTTGGAGGAAACATCTAACTCCTCTAAAAAAATCAAATCCTCTGCACCTGTAACATAACAACAAAAACAATTCGGTCAAGGAGAAATTGTTAAATAAAATCTTTACACTACGTATATACACTTTGTCTTCACAGAAACATTCATCTTGTTTGGGATGTTAAGATAAAGAGCTATACGAAGCATACTCAAAAGTACATTGTAGAGGTCATTCCAGACAGAATGACAATATTTTTCTAGACTAAGGCAGTCTACAATTACATTTGGTACAATGCAAAGTAAAACAGCACACACATCTTCAGGACCACAGGAAGACCAGTATATAATACCATACTAAGTTTGACATTTAAGTCACAGAGTAAAGTTTTTAAAGTTGTTTTACAAAGCATTATGCAACAAGCTTCCTTAAGGGTTTTTCTTTGCTTGGCAGTTTACCAAAACATTTGTTTTCTTTATTAATTCAACATCTTAACCATAATATGCAACTCATCTACAGTCACTAACACTAAGTACAGCATGTCTGTAATGTTTCATGAATTTTACTTGAGACAACTCGGAGATCAGTGTAAAATAAGACAAGAACTGTAATAATAAGATAAAATATATATAGTTTATTCACAATCTTAAAACTTGAAAATCAAACTTAAACTTGAACAGATTGTAAGACTTCATTGCCACTTACCTTCTAAGTTATCTAGGTTATTGTTTCTCAGGATGAGTGTCTTTATCTTTAGTTTTGCTGAGTTGGCAAATGAAGGAAGACTGTCTATGCAGTTATAGCCTAGATTCACTCGGATGATTTCTGATAAAGTCTGCACAAATAAAAAGAGAATGTATACAGTTCACAAATTATTATCCATGGTTATAGGGTCTTTGCAACCAGCTAATAGCTTTCTCAACTCCTCGGGGACTGGAACAAGCGGAGTAAAGTATCGAACCCCTAACCCTTTGGTCCCGAGTCTGGCGTCCTACCACTAGACTACCGTGCCTCCTCAATAAGTTATTAAATTATATTGAAGTTAATAAGTAATATTAATTATTTTGTATATTTTACGATTTGTAGATACGTGTCCGTATGCGATGGAAGTCAGCCATCCGTATCGTGATATTTTAGTAACTTTGAGTGAGAGTGAGTGTTGTTTCAGAGTCATGAGATGTGTTGTAAAGCTGTTTGTTTGGGTCACGTGTCTTGTCTATTTTTACAGTGGTCATTGTTTAGGTTTTACTCGTGGCACCTTATGGTCAGTGATGGTCAGTGACGTCAGAAAGGCTAAACATGATTCAATCTTAAATTGAAATATAAGTACTTATATGAAAATATTAGTTTTCATATGCTATTGAACAGTATATAAACGTTATCTTTTTAATTAGTTGAATTAGTTTAATTTTTGAAGTAATTGTATTTTGGGATTATTTGAATTTTTTCAGCATAGCCATTTTTGGTCAGTTTATTATTTCAAGTAATAGAAGTGATCCTACTGAACAATGTTTTATTTATATGTGGTTTTCATTATATTTGTGTAGGAAATTTAAAGGGAACACTGATGAAAGACAGACATGTAACTGAGACAGAGACCAACATCATAAACTTGTGTAACGACTATTGTCTGAAAACCCTCTTCATGCAGAAGGGGTAGGTATCTTGTATATGTTGTCCGTGTTATATATATGTAAGTGATAAACTTATGAAGATACATTTATGAGATATAATATGTTAAACTGTTATTTTGAATTATTAGAATTATGATAAACAGTTTCTTGCGATCTTTTTATAATCTTTTATTAGGAATAATAGAAATTATGACACGATGTTAGTATGAGATTAACATGAAATTGTGTTTTAATTATACATATTTCATATTGTAGGGTTTTTACTTATCATTCGGTTTATGCCGATAACAAACTGGTTAAACGAACCTGAATTGTTAATGATATTTCACCCAAATACCACGACTGCTACATAAAATTCTGCCACCTTCACTCTATAGTCATTGCCCCCATTCGTGAAGATGCTTTAATATAATTAGAAAGTCCGCTGATGACTTCTGTAATTGACTATAACAATAATTGAATGCACCATTCAATAACGTGGTCTTACCTCAAGAAAGCCTTCTGTCTTGTAGAGCTGGTTATGACTGAGGTCTATGACTTCTATGGCTGACAGTAACCTCTGGAAAGTACACAGCAGAACAGTTATATACAGGACATTCATTTTCCTACACAAAAATGATTAGAAAAACAACCTATTAAGTATGATCAATGCTTATAGGTATTGCTAAATGTGATTCAAAACATTCTGCTTGACAAATATTAACACTTACACTGGACCAAGTGTAAAAACTTCCACAAGGTACTTTTGTTCATTCCAAACCAAAGGTTTGCTTCCTGGTGTTGAAGCTAATGCCGCTATTCAATCTCGGTCTTGAGTTAAGATTTTGTAACATATACCACCTGGGCTGATCCCTTGGCTGGGAATATGTTGAAGAATCTTAGCCATCCATGAAGACCTTGCTCAGTTAAAGGGGACAGCTTATTTTGATTTATACCATAACATTTGCATGATGTCTAGGAATTAGCCAATATGAACCACAACAATCATGCTCTGTTTTGTATACATACCAAAGAGTTGTCTAGTCTTGGAAGGCCATTACAGCTGACATACAGACTGGTTAATTGGGGCCAGGATAGGGGGGCACTCTGATCACCTCCACATGTCTCCAGTAAATCCTACATTGCAGTGAACCATTCATGATTCAGTAAAGATAGAAGTAAATCACCAAGACTTGATGACATTTATGTTTTCACATCAAATCCTGGGAAGAGAAATTCAAGCTTCAAATATATATTGCGCCTGACCATTTTTGTTTTCTCTGGGTTCCCCAGTTTCCTCCCAAATCAAGACCCCTGCACGCTATCATCTAGGCTAATAAGAGTGATTAATAAATCGATAATTGTTGTAAAATAAATAAATCTTATTTTGACATAAACATTCTAAGTAATATATTCTACCATATTCAAATAAGGCTGATACAGTGTCTTTGTATCTTTGTTCTAGTTTCCTTTAGGATGGAATAAAATATTCAGACTCTTGTACATGGAATATTGTACAAGAAAATTGCAGCAAAGAGACAATGGCAAAGCTATAGTTGTCTTCCAAATTCATAATTTGAAGTTATGAATACTGGTATACACGCATGAATATTTTTTCTGTAATTGATTATACTGTACCCAATGCCAGCGCTGTCAAAATCCACAAACATCTGCCATTTTATTTCTATAACACATAGATAAATGTATATGGTATACAATGTATGTCCTGATTAAAAACTATTTCTTCATCAGTTCTATACACAACCATTTACTATAATTAATCATGACCTACATACTCACAAACTATCTATTCATCCTTACCTCGAGATTCTGAAGACATCTGGCTACAATAAGGACCTTGAGCTGGCCTCGAAGCTTCTGCAGTCCATGCAACATGTGCACAGGAATTTTTTTCAGCTCCAAAACCTCTATGTTTCTAAAGCGTGACAGGTAAACCGGTTCCTGCATTGTCTGTACTCCATGGGTCAACTGCAGAAGAAATATGTAAACTCATCAGATTAATGATAAAATGGTATTACTTAGTACATGTTCTGCAAACCAAAACAAAAAAAACCATCCGTGCTGTTCTACACAGCATAACTTAAATAAATTTAATTACAATGGCTTAGTTATATAACTTTTAAAAGATGTACAGTTTCAAGTATGTTTTGTAAAAAGAATTTGTTCTTTTTAAAATCATAATATAGATTAAATTATCTCTATTGATGAAACTTTAACACGATAACAAAATTGTAATCTGAACTGAAGTCTGCATACATTTGACAAACATGTACATTTGGTACCCTTCATGAAATATATATACAACGTATACTACAGCAGCTTGTACCTTGAGAGAAACAGTCTTTGAGATGAAATCATTGAGGAACTGGACATTGGTTCTCCACCTCTGGTGCTCTTCTTCCTGTTTTCTGTCTCTGCCTCTTCGTCTGTCATTTGTTATCTCCCCTTGATGACTAGTCTCGCTGTATCGCCGGAATGACACATAGAGGCGGGATAGGGATTGCGTTGTTAAGGTAAGTTTGCTCTCACCACTTAAAATCTTATCCCCTGAATAATATAATTGTGAAAATAAATAACTTCAGGGGAACACGCAGAACAAGAGCTATTCATGTAATATACACCTACAAATCACATTTCTGAAAATAACTCATTCCATTATTGTGATTTAATCTTGCCAAAATTGCAGGGAAAAAATAATTGGGGGCCCCAATATATTAAACAAGCCATTTGACTTTTGATTATAAAGCAATGTTTTGAATTATTATGATACACACATGTACACTACAATTTGTATGTACATTTAGGTCAATTGTACGAGATCTAGATATACCACAATATTCTTTTTATAGGCAAAAATGAAAATTTGTGTTTCTATTTTTCCTACCTGCCCTATTTCACAATGCCTTACCTGCACTTTTTGGCTATTCTAGTAAGCACTTTCAAATCTGAAATGATGCTTATATTCAAACTTGTGAAATTGAAAATATTTTGCGTGAAAGAAAGATAATTATAAACCTACTTTTTTTTCAAGCTGAAAGCGGAAACAATTGTTTGTCCTTTTAGATGATTCAAGACTAAAGGATATCGATTTATACACACGAAAATTTTACTTCCTACACGATGTACGTATTAAACGTGTAATGTTTCCAGTCCTTCTTGTCCCTTTGTCAAGCTATGTCTGAGGCAGCAATTTGTATTGTTGACCAGTACAAAGTGTGATGAAATTGTCAAGTTTGATTTGGCGTTCGATTAAGGAACATTTTACCTATTGATAGAGATCTAAAGTGTCTGCATGAACACACTGTATGACATAGGTTACTGCAGCTGGTTGGGTATATATATCTAGCCCTGGTAAATATAAGCCCCCTATCAATTGTAGATCAGTAGTGAGTCATACAGATGACTTAGTTGGTGTCCCCCTCATCTCTGTTCATGTTTTGTGTTTTCCTGTTGTTAATATCATGTTTCATTGATTTAATTTGTCTAGATTTTGTTTGTTGTGCTCTTTGAACAATTTTGGCATTGTCCCAATCGATGATGTGATTTTGGGTGTTCTTGTGGTCTTTTAAAGCAAATATGTGGTACAAGGTGAACTAATGCACCCCTGTAATTTGATGAATTACAGACATTTTGGCCCCAAAACCTTTTTACGCCCCAAACCAGTTCGACCCTTTTTTCCCACATCAACCCAATTTTCAGTTCAGGTCGCCCAAAGTATGACAACCATGCATATCGCCCCAAAATCTGTTTCGCCCTTAAAGCTATATCGCCCCAAAATTCTGTATCGCCCCATGGCCAACCGCTACAAACCTATATAGGCCTATTGAACTATAAAAGGCAGTTAATTGGAGGTAACCCTTTCAACTTTCATCGGTTATTCAATTGCCAACATAATGTGTCCTTTTGGTGTTGGAAACAACTACATTTAAATTTATCATTGTGGATACATTTTCTTAACGTTGTTATTATAATAACACCTGCCATCGAGCAGCGACACAAAATGTATAGGAACCTGGAAAATAATTGTGTCTCTGATCTTTGTAATTTACTACAGATTGTCGATATATAGCTCTGTTGTTTGTTTAATAGCTACAGCCATCAAAGTTTGATGACAAGATGTACACATACCTAAAAGAAATATCATATGTTCTTTATAATAGCACTTTACCGACATGTACAACACATGAAAACATGGATTTGTTGTCTATTTTAAAGACACATGCATCAGTGTATGATAACAGAATGTACACAATGCTACATTTCTGTATACATAAGTCACATCTTATGGAAACATAAACTGAAAACAAACCTTTAAGGAAACATATCATAATTAATAAAAGCTAATATGTTTTTTTTAATAAGACCGATTCATGCAAACAAAAACAAACAAAAATAACAATTTAACTAAATAATTAAATAATGAACTACTTTTTTTTGAATGAATAATGACTATTCCAGCTTTGCAAAACCAAACAAATTTGCATATACATGAAGTTTTTAATGGGTGGTGTATTGTATCACAGACCTTTCTGTAGAATACACGAAACAAGAGTTATTTTCCTTAGCACGGTAAACACAATCACATAATAGGCGAATTTGTTAGCACAAAACTAGTTTTAGTTTCAAACTGGTTTGTCAAGCTTTCTAATTTCTTTACCAGTTTAGCCAGTTTAAGGTAATAGGTTTGTGCCACCATTTCTCAGTAGAATTTCTTCAAATTTTGTAGTTACATTGCTTTGAAGAAAAGAAATTTTCTGCCACAAAAAAAAAATAGGTTGTCAGAATTTTAAGGATTTAAATAGAAATTTATGTAAAAAGGAGTGAATTTTGAAAAAAAAATGAAACACAATTCATCTGTGTTCAAACTCAGACAAAGATACAAGCGAGCTTAATAGTTTTAGATATTTATTCATAACATAAACAGCGCTAGCATTTCTGTCGATTCCATTTCAGCTTAACCGGCTATCCGGAAGAAAACATGCACCGTACTAACTGCTAGGGCAGTTATTTTCTCCTTTGAATACTGCCCACCTGCAATAATGATTCCGTAACGTACTCCTTGCGCTATCTTTTGACCATTTGGCAACTTTTTGTTTCGTAGCTCACACGGTACAACAGTTTTCTTTTGCTTACTTCACACGGCCAGTCATTTTGTTTACAAAGAAATGGTGTGCTATACGCATGCGCTAGTAGAGGGAAATCCCTGAACAAAACGTTGGTCAGACAGGAAGAAATACCGATGATTTTCTTAGATTTAATCATTTTTATGAATCTATTTCAGCCAAATCCGATCGTTATTTTCCATAAGGAGTCTCACTTGATATGTTTATGTAGTATTTGAAAAAAAAGACAAAAAATAAAGTTACTTCACCGTGATGCCCCTTTAAGAGATTTGGGTTATTTTTAGTAACAAATCCATACTCTAACTAGAGTATAACAGGCGAGTTTGCGTGTATATTGTTTTTATCCTATAGCAAATAACAAAAAAATCATCACTGTACATAATTTACGCACAATAGCACAATGACCCTATTTCCGTAATCGTCGGTATCGACGGAGGAAGTCTATCAGATGAAGAGGTTGGTGGTTTTCCCCAACCTGATAAAGGGAGGTTTTTGATGTTGATGTTACACAAAACTTACCACTTCTCCTTAGAAGAACCGCCAGTTCAGATACAATATCTACCTCTTGTTTCCTGCTCTGAAACATTGTGATTTGGTAGCTATCCTTTCAGTGCCGTATGTTTAGTGGACTATTGATATCTTGCAATCGACATTGTTAATAATAAATTCGGCATTATTATTTGTTGACGTATCATCCATATTATGTCTTTTGTGTCTCATTCTGCATGAAATATGGTGACGTAATTGAATACTTCTAACCATTTCCTAGTATAACCAAGTATTGTTTCAGTTACCGGTTTGGCATGGTTCTCAAAAATGATGTTAGAAAGTAAATTAAATGCCTAAATTTTCTAAAAACTTTCATGTGATTTCACCGGATCTGACATCTTTTGTTGTTGTCATCTCGCACTGAATACGTTGCAACTAAATTATAATGATAATGACTTAAATGTAAACATTTAACACTTGAAATGTAAAATATATAATATTACATTTTTTTACATTCATTTTATTTGTGTAACATAAATTTCAATTAATTTTCCCAAAATCGCTAATCGAGGTGAAGGTCGTTAGATGACAGGTTCGCAGAAAGGTGATGTAAAAACCCGTAAAAAACGAAAAACATAAAGGTCATCCAAGCCTCAAGAGCATTTACAGAATTAGGGCTTAATGAGGTAAGAAAGGGTTGTCTTTTCAATCATGTGACTCAGAGAAGATCTTGTCTTTGATAGGCGATCACTCAACTGTTTTGGCGCCTGCTCCATTTTGGGTTAAATGCGGCAGTGTCGTGTGGGATTGGGAAGTTAGGTTGTTTACTTCTCACATTAATTTGTATTAATACTTTGTTAGGTATAATTGCTGTTTATGATTTACAGACAGGGCTCTGTTACTTTATGTGTTATTCACCCTTATTTAGGGTAGGGCTTTTCGTTCAGTGTTGGATTTCTGGCGATCAGCTGCTACGAATCGATACCGGTGCTGAAATCTGTGTGTTTACACTTTTGAGACGGCCGGAAATTGGTGATAGCAATAACAGGAATAGGTTCTCCTGGCCCACATGGTTTTAGATGGCCATGGTGAGGCTGGGTTTGAGATTAACAGTTGGTCACTCATGGTTACCGGCTGTTTCGCCCTAAGTCCCGTTCGCCCTAGGTTATTTTGCGCTAGGTTGTTTCGCCCTAAAACAAAAATATTAGGGCGAAACATTGTTTGGTATTTTCTTTCAATTTTAGTAGTTTTAAGTCACAAATTAAGTCTTAATTTTAGTCTTCCACATCATTAAAATCAATTTCATGACAAAAAGTGTTTGTCATGTTTTTAAGCGAGTGTGGCAAACGGCAGCTTTGAAAAGCTGACTCTGCTCTCACATACTCTACATGAAATATACCTAACACCAATGTAGAAAGTCATCAATTTTAAATATGAATTAGTATTAGCTCACCTGCCCTAAGGGCAAGTGAGCTTATGTCATGGTGCGGCATCCGTCCGTCCGTCCTCGTCCGTCAACTTTTCCTTTAAACAACTTCTTCTGAAGAACGGACCGGCCTAGAGTCATGATATTTGGCTGAAAGCTTCGTTGGTAGGAGCCCTACAAAGTTTGAGAACAAAAATGACCTTGACCTATTTTCACGGTCACAAGGGTCAAATATGTCAAAAACTTCAAATGACTTCTTCTGAAGAACTAAAAGGTATAGAATCTTCATATTGGGCTGATGGCTTCCTGGGATAGAGCCCAACAAAGTTTGAGAATGAAAATGACCTTGACCTACTTTCAAGGTCACAGGAGTCAAATGTGTCAAACACTTCAAACGACTTCTTCTGAAGAACTGAAAGGTATAGAATCTTTATTTTTGATTGATGGCTTCCTTGGATAGAGCCCGACAAAGTTTGAGAATGAAAATGACCTTGACCTTCTTTCAAGGTCACAGGAGTCAAATGTGTCAGACACTTCAAACGACTTCTTCTGAAGAACTGAAAGGTATATAATCTCTATATTTGGCTTGTAGCTTCCTAGGAAAGAGCCGAACAAAGTTTGAGAATGAAAATGACCTTGACCTTCTTTTAAGGTCACATGAGGCAGATATGTCAAACACTTTAAACGACTTCTTCTGAAGAACTGGTAGTTATAAAATCTTAATATTTGGCAGGTGGCTTCCTGGGAAAGAGCCAAACAAAGTTTGCGAATGAAAATGACCTTGACCTACTTTCAAGGTCACAGCGTTCAAATATGTCAAACAGTTCAAACAGCTTCTTCTGAAGAATTAAAAGGCATAAAATTATAATATTTGGCTGGTGACTTCCCGGGATAGAGCTCACCAAAGTTTGCAAATGAAAATGACCTCAACCTACTTTAGAGGTCACAGAGGTCAACAACATTTTAATGGATTTGTTCTTGAGAACTAAAAGGAATGGATTCATAAGATTTGGCTGGTAGCTTTTTGGAATAGAGCTAACCAATTTGAGAAGGAAAATGACATTGACCTACTTACAAGATCACAGGGAAAAATATGTCAGGCAACTTCTGAAGAAGAATCAAAAAGCATAGAATCTTATAATAATATTTTGCTGGTAGTTTCAACAGATGGAGCCAACAAAGTTTGCGAGAGAAATATTTATAGTGCAATATAATATTTAACGAGAATATTTTGCTATGACTGCTTAAATACTCAGGTGAGCGATACAGGCCCTCTTGGGCCTCTTGTGTTAATGTATACATTCATACAAAAGTATTTAGGGGGAAACAACCTAGGGCAAACAGGATTAAGGGCGAAACAACCTGTTACAGCACTCATCTTCGAGGCTATTTGGTGGGGGGAGGGAGCAGGGGGTATAAAACAGCAGGTCTGGGCGGGGATCAGGTTCTTGACAGGGTCGGTGAGCCGACTCACCTCTCCTGGTGAGGAGAACCTTACGTGACCTCTTGCAGTGTTAACAGTGCAAAACATGGGCCGAGGTGCTGCTAACAGTACCAATACTGTATACATAGAACTACGTAAGGTTAATGTTCCTGTGATAATATATATAGTGCTTTAGGAACTACAGTACATGTATGTAGGGATAGTCAGGGGCTTTGGGCTTAGGCATCGATACATGGTGGTTCGCTGTAGATCTATAGGGAGCTAGGAGCACATGGTCGTAGTCTACTGGTGTCATTGTTTGGCACTAATGCTATGCTTTGTATTTGTTGAACTTGTTATACATACTTGTTGAGTTATTGAATCAATTGCTTGCAATTGTATTGCACCACTATATCCATTGTTCGAACCTGTAGTGAAAATAGGTCTGTAATCTGACAAAAGAGGCGAGGTCTAGAGAGGACTGCATGGGAAATTGTCGACAGTCGAGTGACACCAGATGCAAACCCTCTCCGAACCTCCCCCTATTACAGTTGGCTTGTTGACATTTCTGACTGAAGAGGGGTGATCCTGGGCACAGGAGTCTGAGAATTTGTTACAGCTGGTTTGGACCTAAACCACAGTGTTCATAGTAATTTTACAGGTTTTAGGGGTTTAGATCGACTTTCGGTAAAAATGACGTTTATAGTTGATGTATCAATTGACACTCATTTGCTAATAAAAGCTTCTCACATACTAGCCAACTTATCTCAAGCCTTAAAAGTTGATAACCAAAACAATGCAACAATGGTAGGTCAGCAGACATTTGACATTTTCCCTGAATACAAATTTAAGCTTTTGTCTATACGTACTTCTGTGTTTGTATTTCTTATTTTGGTTTAATCGTCTGTCAAAATGTAGATTGAAGTGTAACAGTGGTCATTACATAGTTCACATCCCCACAGGTAAATCTAACCGCAGGGCAGAGTTTGTTGTCGATCTTGGGGAACAATATAAATCTTGTTTTATGAGGGTGAGTCTGATTAGAAAGGGGAGAAGAGGTTATCGATCTGTGAAAACTTGTGTATACCTCTCGATGAGTAACAGTCAAATGCATACGTAACAGTAAAATTATGATGCATAGCGGCTCAAAATTCAGTGTGCACACCAAACTGTTCTAGGGGGATGCTACACGATCGAGCCGGTCTTATATTTCACTACTTAAAAAAATTCTGGTCACAGACAAGGGGGTGTCACGTGCGCTGGGTGCACGTGACACCCCCTTGATCCATCTCTGTTTTTGTTCTGCTAACAGGTAAATTCCCTGATGGTCTCCAAATTGAATAAGGATCAGTGTTGTACAAGTATAAATGAAGGATGTTGCCCCATGAGGGCCGAGGGGCAAAGGCCAATAGTGAAAAAAAAGGTAAATAATTGAAAGACTAGATCTTCTTCAGACAGTATGTGTAAAAATGATTTTGCACCAAATTTGATTTGAAGCATCACTGGGCCAAGGGGACTCCATGTTTTACAAATATATAAACAATTGGTATATCTACATGGGGAAGAGTCAGGTAAATATTTAAAAGGATATCGGGAAATAATTAACACCCAAGTGCAAATGAAGCCTAATTCAAACTCAAACTTCAACTAGGGCAAACTAAATTTTCCAGTAGCATGCTAAGATCTCAGATTATACCGGTCACAGTTTATATGTCCTATGGGATGCTTTTACAGTTATGTTACCTGCAATTTGAAATGAATTAAAACAAAATCTAAAAGCAGTTTAACGTTAAAAACTGCCTTTTAGATCTGCTCATGATTGCAAATGCTTAGTTAAAGCTTGCTGATTAATGCAGTGTACCTGGTGATATTGACATAAACATGTCTACACTCTCTGTCCCTTGACTGTAGATCAACTTTCTGAAGTTGGCATAATGATGATGTACAATATTTGATGCAGCACCCTATCTAGCTAATATAAGCACCTCTAAAGCGTTTTACAGTACATAGATATACAATTAATACAATTAGCATATATACATTAATTAATACAATTTTGAGGAATTCGCAGGAGCTGCCTTATCAGGCGCTGACTACTAGCTCTATGCCACCTGGCTAATATCTCCCTTTGTGTGTATGCCTGTGTGTGTGCTGGAGATGTGTTGTGTTCTGTTTGTAGTGGGACCGTGCTTCCGACGGCATCATTTATAGTGCCACCTCACTTGAATGCTACAGCGCAGGTACCGCAACATCCACCCCAGACCATTTTATACTCCACCTGGGTTGTTGGAGTTATATGGGCAGGAGAAAAAACGCTTTCTCTAAATGTTCCATGCTTGCGCCAACTTTGAGGATCAGACTCTGGCTGCCTGCGTATAGAAGGCCAAAGTGTAAACCACTAAACCAATCCGCCCACTGAATAATTAGGGGGTAGCACAATCTAGTGTATTGTGTCTTAAGTTTTAATTGCAGATGAACTTCATTGGTCATGAGTCAGTATGAGATTTCATCTTCATTACAGATAATTGATGTTCGGTCAATACATCAGCCTAGGTTGAACTAAATGAGGTCATTGTGACCTACAGTACAAAACTTATGTGACCAAAATTAAGTTACTGTGACCTACTTTTGAAAATCTGACCCTACATTATGAAAAATCAGGTAAAGATATCAACATGGGACTATGGTTTGACCAAATTAGTCACTTTGACGTACATTAAGAAAAACTGTGATTGGGTTCAGAATTGAACCTGTAACCATTGTTTGATGAAATTAGGATGCTATGATCTACTTTTGAAAATTTTACCTGCATTATAAAAAAAATGTTATTGGCTTCAGAAATTATAAAAACTGTTGCTTGATATTTTTCAAGTCACTGTGATCTCCTTTTCAAAATTTAAATCGGAAACAATAATATTCAAATAAAATCCATCTCCTGTACATATGCTTCATCTATTTCCATGTAATTGCATGCGATCTAGGCGATCTAGGATCTCTTGTTAATGTGCTCGTGTTTGTTTCAGTTTTCAACCACAAGAAAGGTGAAAATGGATAATCCTCCTAAAAGATCTTTATCTGTAACATCAGATCCAAAACTTGACAGGGAATTCTTCAGCCCTCCTGATCCACGTGGAGAACAAAGCTTTTTGAGGGCAGTTCCAACCGTCGGATTGGGTATGTGTTCATAGTCTCCAAAAATTATTTACTATTTGGAGAAGTTTTCATTCTCATTTGTGTTGGTCATGTCCTCAAAAATCATTCAACCAAAATGTCAATCTCATTTATTGAGTGTAGGCCTGCATGGCGCTATACAATGTAACATACAAAAGGTAGTGTCAACAAGCAGCTAATTAGATAGAGAGCTATAGTGTCATTGAGTGTCAGATATCCTCAAGGTTTATATTTAAAAGTAAGAATTTATTTTGTAAAAGGCTTGTAGAAAGATGAATAAATGCAATTGGAAAGTACAAAAAAACAAACAAAAAAGGCTGTCAATTTATCATTTTACATGTATCAATATATTCTGGACCAATTTCTACCATGTCAATATTTAGATTAATGTAGGTCTGCTCATAATTAAAATTCATCTAATTTGATTAAATTTGTGTTACTTTGAACACTTTTAAGGTTACAGGGGACAAATATGTTAAAATCTTCAAAAGAGTTATTCCAGATATCAATAACTTTATAATACCTATTTATATAGCTAGTGTAACAAACCTTTCCTTATTATTCAGTAGAATAAAGAGCTAGTTATTGACTGTTGTGTTCAAAAAGGTAACCTTGACCCACTTTTAAAGTTTCAAAGGTCAAGGTTTGTAAAGTTGTTGTTTTCCAGAGTAATATCTGTAACTTATTGGCATGGTGTGAAGGTTAAGGGCTAATAAGTTTGCCCAAATAAATAACCATGATCTACTTTCTTGTCTCATAGCTATAGGTGTCAAATGTGTGTAAAAGCTCAAACAACTTTTTCTAATACATTGTATTCCTTTAGGCCTAGATTAGTATCAGCCTGTAGCTTGCAGAAATAACACATGAATTTGTTAGTTCCTTATGGCCTTGACCAACTTTGAAAGAAGATATGTCAGTTAGCCTGTAATGAACATAAACTTACTTAATGTAAAATTTGTTTGAATATAGTTTGGTTAGTTTGACCTTGGCCCCACCTTGAAGGTCACAAATATGAAATATGTTTATGAAATGCCTTAGTAAAAGGATACGGGCTGAGGCAGTGTTCTCCCTAGACATTTTTTGATGCGCTATGGCATCTGCTTTTTAACCCTTCCATCACAGCGCGACGCTGCCAACCATTTTCACGTAGCAAACCATGTATCGTGCGCGATATTACTTTGAGAAAGAAAAAACTCTAACCAAGAGTAATAATTGATGTAGTTAAATCTAAATGAATATTTCAACAGGTATTTGATATAAATACAAACTTCCTTAAATACCAAGGACTTATTTCAGCTATTCGAAATTTAAGAAAGTATAGACAGAAAGATAAGCTTATAGATGTAGCTAGAATATAGAAACATACTTAAAAGTCAAATTTGTGTTTAAACACGAAACTATATATTGTTAAGTCACCTGTCATTCCTCAATTTACACCCAACCACAATCATTATCGCACAACGTTCGTCCATCGTGTGCAAGCAATGATCGTCCACCTTTTTATCGTTCGTACATCGTGCCCACATGGTTTACACACTATGCGCATACCGTGCACATCGTGTAATATTGTGCGATCCCACAACTGTACATATATATTTTGTGTATCTAATATAATTTACAGAGCTATAATTAACAATTCTGTTGGTAACAATATGTCATACATTCTTTCAGTAACTAATTATTCTGATTTTCTGTTTCAGGCTTAGTTTTGGCACTAGGTGTAGTAGTCTACCAAGTAAAGATGTGGCCGAAAATGAAAGCTAAGGGATACGACTTCAATATTTATTTTTGGAATGCTAGGTTCGTTGCTTTTGCAACTTTTTATAGTCTTACTTTGACAACTATTTTCGCAGCAGACCTTTCTACAAAAGCTAATAGGAAGCGAAATAACATCACCGACGAGGATGTGCACCGTGCCATGTTTGGTGACCATACGCCACGAAAGCTTCCAACCCTGAAAATAAAGCCATATGAAGGAAACCCTATGGCTCTTTTCAAGACAAACATCCTAGAACAAGTTCTTCTAAAAAAGATTAATGCAAAAAGCCAAGTTGACTGAAACCTCTTATGCTTGCCACCTTCTGAGAGTTGCCAATATTTGTTTGGTAATATTCAAAGTAAAATGAATTCCAGCCAAGTTATAGTTCATTATATGTTGATGATGATGGCATCGAGTAAAGTTTGGTGTATACAAAACCTGTAAATATACATTAAATTTTGTATTTCGCTCCATCCAGCAGGCTTTTGCTATGTATCTCGAGTTTCGAGGCTTTTGTTATCACGATAATGATCTTGTAAGCACTGTTATCCAAATTGCAGATATTTAACTGTATGTATTTTCGGTTTAAATTAATAATGAATAGTGCCTCTATAGATGACAAAAGTTTAATTGGAAGACATGAATATAGCTTAGTGACTGATCTTTGGTGAAAAAACTGACGAAGCGCTAGGCTGACACTTGTCCTTGGAAGATTACAGAGGAGCGACACCCGACTGTTACAAAACTGGTCTATTTTACCATGACAATCCCATGCAGTTCTTTTGATGTACAACAAAGAATCATGTTTTGTATTCAAAGGATGTAGAGGGCGTAAATGAGCAAACCCCTAAAGTATTAAGGATGGTTCTTCGCATAAATGCACTTGTCTATATTATTGTACATAATAATTCTGCTGGTTATTGTCATCAATAGACATTGTGTATGTGTAGCATTTTTACTAGTTTTGAAAATGAGGTCGCGCTAAAAATTCAACAGTTGATTTAATGTTGGTGATATTCCAAGTTTTCAGAGCAGCCATTTTGAGGAAGAATTTTTGAGGAGTTGTCTTCTGAAATCAGAAAATATTGATAATTTTGTAGCTGTTTTCCATGGTTACATAAAAAGTAATAAAAGTAAAAGCCAGCAAAAGACACTAATACACCACTTCTCATTGATATGTGTTCAACAGTAACTTACAAAATATCATGAATGGTTTTCAAGTCATTTTCTAGACAAACTGATATGTTTGCAAACTTTCGTGAAAGTATCATGTGAAGTTTTCATGTACTGATCTTGAAACATTAATGATTCTTGTGCGGTTCCCTATTTATTGTCTTCTTGAAATTGTATGGAAGTGTAATTTGTTTTTAAACTGTTTTTAAAGTTGTCTGTTAATTAATAGGGTGATTGTAAAGAGAATGATTATTTTTCAAATTGTTTATTTTGAACTTTATATCTTATACATCATGTATAAAACATAGTATTTTGGTTTTTAATAAAAACATGGTCGAGTGGATTTATTGATACTGTACTTTGTTGGGGGGTTTTCATGATAAATTCTTGTTACCTATGAAGGAAGTTAAGTAAAGTTATTTAGACTCAAATAAAATCCTAACAAAACTGCTTTGCTCTAGGACTCGCATTTCTGTAGAAGTTGTTACAAGGCTTTACAACATCTACACCCTGCAATATTGAAAGACGATCATTTCTTGTTTGAAAAATAATAAATAGCACTTTACTCCAGCCAGCTACGTATACAGGCCAAACATTACGAGTTTAGACCTTGTGGATCAGTATTAAGTCTTTTTTCAACAAATTTAACCCACGTTTCCTTGACATTATTCTAAGTTTATTTATTTGAGTAAAAAAACTCTTAGCACAGCATGCTATAGTTCAGATTTTATGACTACCATGTATGACTCATAGTTTTGTAAAAAAAGTTTCCTTTTAACACAGTTTACCACTGTTATCTTAGCTCATTCAGCCTGAAAACCAGTATGCCTAGCTGTAGCTCCTGCTATATTTTTGGGCTGATTTGAAAACCTAAATGTCAGCTTGGCCTCTGACGGAGATCTTATACAAAAGCTATTCCCAAGTGTTCTTCTCATGGCCCAGACTTCTCATGGCCCAGACAGAGTGTTATTTTTGCAACCGGTTCACAATTGGATATGGCCACTTGTTCTCCAACCTGTGGCATTACCAATATAGAATTCTTCATTCAAGGTATCCAGTTGGCACATACATTTTAACTGCCAATCAGATGGGCATACACTGTGTGTGGGATGTTTAAATTACCTTGGTCTGTCATGGTCTGTCCATCCAGAAACATTTTTAGATAACCTGTCCTGAATGGCCAAGTGAGCATATGCCGTGGTGCAGCTTGTCTGGTGTAAATATAGCCAGAAGCATGCTAGGGTGAAGGGATGTAAATATTGTTCAAATGAATGACTCTGAACGTAATTCAAGGTAAAAGTGGTCAAATGTGTTCAAAACTTTAAACAACTTCTTTTAATCATCAAAAGGCCTAGGGTGATGATAAGAATCAACCATGACATTTGTTCAAATGAATGACCTTTTGACACCCATATTCAAGTTCACAGGGGGTCCAATGTGTTGAAAACCCTCAAATAACATCTTCTGATTAACCATAATCCAGAAGTGATGAAATTTGGCCAGTCATGTTCAGCAAGGATTATTAAACTTGTTCAAATCAATGATCATGACCCTCACACTTATTCGAGGTCTCGGGGGTCAGATATGTTGAAAACCTTTGCATGATTTCTTCTAAATTACCAAAGGGTCCAGGGTGATGATATTTTACCAGTAGCATGCTGGTATAAAGGGCTATCAAATATGTTAAAGTGAAAGACCTTGACCCATATTCAAGGTCACAGGTGAAATGCGTTAAAAACACTTAAAACACTGCTTTCAATTTTGTTAAAATGAATGACCTTCACCCATCCCATATTCGAGGCACAGGAGTCAAATGTGTTGAAAACTAAGTATTTGACTTCTTCTGAACAACCGAAAATTCCTAGGGTGATGATGTTTGGCCAGTACCATGCTGGTGAAGGGCCATCAAATATGGTAAAATGAAAGTCCTTGACCCATATTCAAGGTCACATAGGTGAAATGTGTTAAAAACACTTAAACCACTTATTGTGAACAGTGAACCAAAAGTCCTTAGGTGATTATATATGGCCAGTAATTACATGCTTGGATGAAGTGCTTTTAATTTTGTTTGCATGAATGACCTTCACCCATCCCATATTCAAGGTCACAGAAATCAAATGTGTTGAAAACAAGTTTTTGACTTCCGAACAACCAAAAATTCCTAGGGTGATGATGTTTGGCCAGTACCATGCTGGAATGAAGGGCCATCAAATATGGTAAAATGAAAGTCCTTGACCCATATTCAAGGTGAAATGCATTGAAAACACTTAAAAGAAATGACACATGCTTGAATGAATGACCTTCATCCATTTTTAAGGTCACATGAGTGAAATGTGCTGGAGTGATGCTAGTTGACTAGTAGAATGCTGGAATGAAGTGGTTTCAATTTTATTCAAATGAATAACTTTTACCCATGTCACATGGGTGAAATGTGTTGAAAACATTATAATGATTTCTTCTGAGCAACCGAAAGGCATAGGGTACCAAGGTAATGGTATTCGGGCAGTCACATGGTAGAATGAACATCTATTAAGTTTGTTCAAATGAATGATCTCCACCCATTTTAAGGCCACAGGGGTCAAATGTGTTAAAACACTTTTGGCAAGTAAGCATGATGGGTTGACTGCGGCTTGGACACACTTTCAAGTCCACAGGAGTCAAATGTAATGAAGACACACTTTCAAGTCCACAGGAATCAAATATAATGAAAACATTTAAATGTGTTCTTTTTAATAACCGAAGTCCTAGGGTGATGACATAGTTGGGCAGTAAAAAGAGTTTTTCTCGAATTAATGACTTTGACACCTAATTCAAGGCCACATAGGGGTCAGATGTGTTGATAACCTTTAAACAGCTTATTCTGTATAACAAAATGGCCTAGGGTGATTATTTTGCCATGTGTTCTATCATATTATTAAGCTTGTTGAAATGAATGACTTTCACTTATATTCTAAGGTCACTGGGAGTTGTAAAATGTCTTCAAAGAATGACCTTGAACCACTTCCATTGTGGCAAATATACTTCTAAACCAATTTGAATCGGTTTTTACAAAAGACACATCAGACGCAACACCAAGCATTGACAAGAAAGTTGATCAGTCAATACCACCACTGACAATAACAACAGAGGGAGTCGAAAAACTCTGAAAGAACATCAAACCATTTAAAGCCATTGGACCAGACAACTTACATGTACCAAACATTGTCCTGAAAAACTGCTCTAAACAACTAGCACCTGGGCTGAGATACATCTTCAGCAATCCATTAACTCTGGCACCCTACCTACCAATTGGTTGAATGCGAACATCACTCCTGTATTTAAGAAAGGGAATATTAACACACCAGAGAACTATCGACCTGTTTCCCTTACCTGCGTTACCTGCAAGCTGCTTGAGCATATTATCTGCAAACATATCCTGAAACACCTGGAAAAGAACAATATAATCACACCACTCCAGCATGGCTTCCGTTCAGGCTTCTTCTGTGAGACACAACTCTTAGCAACTATGAATGACTTGCTTCAACTCCATGACAAAGGCCAGCAGACAGACATTGTGATACTTGATTTCTCTAAGGCCTTTGACACGGTCCCGCACAAAAGGCTACTATCCAAACTAGAAAGTTATGGTATTGATGGTCCGATACTTGATTGGCTCAACATGTTCCTCACAAAACGATCTATGCGAGTCCTGGTAGATGGAGAAAATTCTGACTCTGTGGGTGTAGCTTCGGGAGTACCTCAGGGCACAGTGCTAGGACCGTTGCTGTTCCTGTGTCATATCAATGACCTACCCGAAACTGTTAAATCTCAAGTCAGATTATTCGCCGACGATTGTCTGCTATATAGGAAAGTCCAAACACAACAGGACCACCAACAACTACAAAACGACCTTGTATCATTGGTAAAATGGGCCACAAAATGGGGTATGAGATTCAACGCTAAGAAGTGTTACGTGATGAGCGTCAACAGTAAATCATCTCATTTCTACAAACTAGATAATCATATCCTGCAACAGGTACAACAAAATCCGTACCTCGGTGTTATAATCTCAGATGATCTGAGATGGGGCGTCCACATCGCTAAAACCGTAAAGAAGGCAAACTCCACTCTAGGCTTCTTGCAACGAAACCTCCGTCACTGTCCGAAGGATTGCAGGAAACAAGCATATATAGGACTTGTCCGGTCACTGTTAGAATACGCAGCTA